TTATCTTAAGATCTGACTGATAGATGTCTGTGCAAGTTTGGGCGAGTTTCTATTTGCCAAATTTAAGATATCACTTCGAACACAAGAAAATATATCTCCAAATTGGCGCTGCATTCCGCTACGAACCGCAAATTTGGAGATATTTTCTTGTGTTTGTAGTGATATATGTTCATTATATGCAAGCCTCTTGATTTATAATCACCGAGTCTAGTAATTGTTTAAGAGAGTTCTCTGGCAGTTACGAAACTCGAGAGACTGTGGGATACTGAAGGGAAAGGAAGCAGTTCTAACGAGCTCTTCTCAAACACAAGGATATATCTTGTGAACTTGGCTAGTATATATCAAACATTTGATATGAAGTTGTAGAGGGAGTTATGTGCCTCGCCGGGCTAATGTAGTGGATGACCTTGCTGTACGGCAAGTTAAACAAGGATCTGAAATTACTAGGTTCCGTACAGAATCAACTCTGCACCCGTGTCAATATGTTCATTATATGCAAGCCTCTTGATTTATATCTTATAATCTTAAATTTGGCACATAGAAATTCGCCCATACTTGCACAGATTATCTGTGTTATAGCCATATAAAGTTTGAAGAAAATCTATCAGTCAGATCTTGAAATATATGCCTCGGTACCACTACAAATCACCCATTTGGAGATATTTTTTGTGTTTGAAGTGATATCTCAAATTTGGGAAATAGAAATTCGCCCAAACTTTCATAGATAGTTTATATTATAATCACATAACTATCTGGAAAGTTTAAGAAAATTATGTCGGTCAGTTCTCGAGAAAATCTAAAATATATTCTAAGTTATTTACTAAAACACTCGATTTTCGACCTTTTGTTATGGAAAAGATTTGTCGAAAGTCCTTCTGCACTGTGCGAGTTGGACTTTCCGTTCCATTTGTTCCGCGGAACGATATTTGACGAAAGTCGATTATCTTGAGATCGAATCCTACTGATAAATTTTCTTTAAACTTTCCAGATAGTTGTATGGCTATGATACGGATAATCTGTGCGATTTTGGACGAGTTTCTCTGTGCCAAACCTGAGATATGACTTCAAACACAAGAAAATATCTCAAATTGGCGCGTTTTAGCGGAACGCAGGCACATATTTCGAGATCCTACTGATAAATTTTCTTTAAACTTTTCAGATAGTTGTATGGCTATAACAGTCCTCCATTCCTCCTTCTCCTTCTCAGTCCTCTTCCTCCTTCTCCTCCTCATCATTACTCCTCCTCAGTCTTTCTCCTCATCCTCAGTCCTACTCCTCCTCAGTCCTCCTCCTCAGTCCTCTTCCTCCTCATTCTCCTCTTCAGTCCTCCTCATCCTCATCCTCCTCTTCCTCTTGATTATCTGTCTCATAGCCATACAACTATCTGGAAAGGGGGGATCATGTTTGTGTCCGTATCTGTCCGTTCGGTACCCTTTATTTTCAAAACGGACAAAAGGTAGGGCAAACAAAAACAGAATAAAACGGACAAAAACGGAACAAAAATGTTATGGAAATAACATTTAGATGCTTCCTCCTGCTCATCCTCCTTTTCCTCCTCCTCCTCCTCCTCTCCCTCATGCCCCTCTTCCTCCTCCTCCTCAGTCCTCCTCCTCCTCATCCTCCTCCTCCTTCTGAGTCCTCCTCCTCCTGAGTCCTCCCGAGTCCATCTCCTCTTGAGTCCTCCTCCATCTGAGTCCTCCTGATTCCTCCTCGTCCTAAGTCCACATCCTCCTGAGTCCTCTTCCTCCTCCACATCATCCACTTCCTAGTTCTCTTCAGTCCTCCTCCTCCTTCTGAGTCCACCTCCTCCACCTCCTCAGTCCCCCCGAGTCCTCCTCCTCCTCCTCAGTCCTCATCCTCCTCCTCCTCCTTTGTCCTCATCCTCCCCCTCTTTCTGAGTCCTCCTCCTGATTCCTCCTCCTCCTGAGTCCACATCCTCCTGAATCCTCTTCCTTTTAAAGAAAGGAGTTCCTTTAAAAGGAAGAAAATCTATCATTCACATCTCTAAATATTTGCCTGTGTTTCGCTAGAAGCCGCCAATTTGGAGATATTTTCTTGTGTTTGAAGTCATATCTCAGGTTTGGCACATGGAAATTCTCTCAAAATCGCACAGACCATTCGTCTTATAGTCATATAACTATCTGGCCTGGAAAGATTAAAGAAAATTTATCAGTAGGATCTTGAAATATGTGCCTACGTTCCGCTAGAAACCGCCAATTTGAGATATTTTCTTGTGTTTGAAGTCATATCTCAGGTTTGGCACATAGAAATCCTCCTAAAATCGCACAGAATATCCGTCTCATAGCCATACAACTATCTGGAAAGTTTAAAGAAAATCTATCGGTCAAATTTTGAGAAAATCAAAAATATATTCTAAGTTATTCACTAAAACACACGATTTTCGAACTTTTCATTTGGAACAGATTTGTCGAAAGTCCTTCTGCACTGTGCATATGCGCGTCACATGTCTGTCGGTCGCTGTACATCAGTTATATAAAAACCGTGTTATTTTCCGCGCTGTATCGTAGCGCGCATTATGCATAATTCACATGGCCCGCTTGGTCGGTCTAGCTGCGGATAAATTGACGAACAGAAGCTTAGCTGTTCGATTTTGTTATTCATTCCTACTTGAATTTCAAAACAAATATTTTCAGAAAGTCATCACGTTCCCTTGACGAACCCTGGATATTCTCGAAAGCATGACGGAGGTTTTTATACCACCTAAAAGACAGAAACCCGAACTCTTCAAACTTGCGTTATCCTCGTTGCTGAGCTAAATGTTGTTTAATCTTTATGACCAACCTTTGTCAATGAATATACTATATTATTAGGATTTTAAGGCTTTAAATTGTTTTATGGTTTGAATCTGTTTAGGATACGGCATGATAAGATTCAATCATCACACGAATTTGACTACATTCAAATCTCAATCAATTCAAGCTAGTTCTTAGATGTTATTTTGGGGATTTTAGCTTGCTTTATTGATTACAGGACGGGTTGTGTCCTTATAGCTAGAATCAGACCGGTAGAATTAGAAGTCGAGACAGTGGTAGAAACAGCAAAATTATATTTCAATGATATGTTCAATGAATTTTTGATCAGCTGTTTTAAATCGTGGTCATACAATAAACGAGTTTAAAATGAGCTAATTTTCAATATTCTAGCAAACTTTCAACCAGTCAATTTCTACCGATAATCACACACCCAGATACTGTCGCAGATTTAACATCATCGTCAACTTATATTATAAAGAGTATTATTTTACATGAAATAGAATGGTTTTGTGAAGAATAACATTGCATGCAGATTGCAGAGCTATTAAATTACGGCTGATTCGTGTAAATAATGTAAATTTTAAAGAACTTGATTGACGTTAAAGAACTTGAATCAGCGTTTAATTTCACCGTTAGATTGTTTTGGTACGCCGTACGGCCCTCACCTGAGAAAAGGACCAATTGTTAGTACTTTCACATGATGCAATTTTGCAAATGTGATGGACTCTGATAAAGAGAACCGTCACCTCACACCTGGTTTTGCCGGCCATACCTCAACGAGGCGGTCCAAGCGTCTCTTCTGCGAATCTACCCTACCCATCAAATATCAAGTCGAGTTGAGACACACTTTTAAAGCTGTAAACAGCATACCGCTCTTAGATCAGTAAGAGAAATCAAACGCCAGAATTAAAACACTTTGTTAAAACAACAACCCACGCCTCTGGTGAAGCACGAATGATAGATACCCTCAGGCCTCAAATATACAGTTATCCTTCTTTGTTATGTAGTCAAACTTACCCAATTGTGCAAAGCCTGAAGAAACAGAGAAACCTCGACTGCCAGATCAAGGATTGCATCACTAGTAGCGAATTATGGTTTTACCCATCTGTCATGTACGCCACAACTGACTGTGCGCCCAAATGTGCCTTTTTGGCCCCGACTACCACCCCTTGGTTCAAAATTATCAGCCACAATTTTGGGCCTTTAATTTCGATAACTTTCATTTTCATGTCCAGTATGGCATCCCAACAGGAGGATGCCAGGATCACAATTTGATCCGACGTTCACCATCAACTATCGATCAATCCTGCTATTCGTGCGTTGCGCGGCGCTAATTGTGACACGCAAGAATATAGCAATGAAAACTCAAGTCACGTAAATATGTTTGCGCGTTCCATAAAATTACACTATAAGCTTGGAATGTGGCCATTTATATTATCGTATCGTAAGTTTCTCACAGATCTTAAGTTACAAATAATTTCTTGGTTTTATCAACCATTGTGGTTCCGTTTTAAACATATTATTTGCGCATAACACCAGGATTTTGTAAAATCCGGATTGGAGTATTATTTATGAGTCGCATTGTTGTAATGTATTCTGGGTAAAATCTCACACACGCACACTTCCGCCTCCTATTCAATACACTAACCCTTATAACATCAATCAAACAATATTAGGCTCCCACGTTTCACACTTCTCATTGGTCAGTACGATTCCCGCCATTTTCACTCCACACTAGATACATACCTACACACTTCACATCATGCACCTGTTCACCGTTGTAGCACTCCATGCTTCTGTATCATGTGTAGTATATTTAGTAGTAGTTTTAGGAATGTACAGTATTTACTATAAAAGTTTGTCGTCGTATAAACTAATTTTGTTATGAATTTTGTTATGACTTTTTTGTATCGAATTTTTGGATAAAGTTGATTGATTAAAAATAAATTAATGTACACAAATTTTGCCTCAGATATATGTTTTTTACGTTTTGAATTTTTAACACTTGTTTTTAGATCATGAATACGATGTAGTTACATTGAAACGTCGAGTAATCTCCTTTCCCTAATAAGAGCATTTTTACTTGTCGCAACAACCGGGATAAAGATAATTTTTACCCAGAATACACCAGGATTTTGTCTTTCTCAGAGATGACGTGGTTCTAAACGAAAATTATACTGTATAAGCATTAAGCCTTTATCGAACTTCGAAGATTAAAGATACACCTTTTTCAATTAAAAAGAATTATAGCAGCTTTACAGCCTTTATACAAATCATAGGAGTGGGATTTTACAAGATTTGGCTCCATTAATCAAGTCACAAATTAAATTTTAAAATCAAAAGCAATCAACGAAAGAATTTTCAATTTAATCAGTTAATAACCGGACGACATAATATATTATCCTCGGTCGACTTTCATCAAGAAAATTTAGAATTGCATCGTGGACTTATCAATATTGGCAGATGAGCAGTGGCGTAACATTGCGTCTCGCCGTCATATTCCTAGTAGTAATTTTATTTTTTCAAAATGGTAACATGACGAAAATTATCACCCCTAAGATAGCGCAGCCTTCTACAAGCGGGGCCGGCAAGACCATTCGATACGCCAGTGACCAAGGACCAATATTTTAAAACAAACTCTAAATTAACTTGTTAACTTATTTGTTTAACAGCCGTGTTTCCTCAAAGAAACACCAACCCTTCTCTCAACAGCTTGTATTAAATTCCATCCTTTTGTGATCACATTTCGTAAATCATAGGAAGCATTAGAGATCGATCACTAAATTTGCGTGATACAAATACATATGCATACATCAGTCTCAAAATATGGAATTTTCCGTAAAAAGAAAATAGGGAGAAATTCCGAAGAAATGTTCATGAGATCTGGTTAAGGGCAATGTCAGGCCAGATTTTGTTTCTGTCATTGACCACAGTAAACCTCATATTATCACAATTACCTTCACCGGCGTGTTTCCTTCTTTGTGAGACAGCAATAAATAATTGCAGATAATTCACACATCGTCTGTTGCTTTGTCAGCAAAACATTAACACTTTAAAAACAGAAATTTAATGTAATAAATTTTCATTTTGTGAAATATTTCAAATTCCCTCTTGTATTTGCCGGTACTGGCTGTGAGGGTTGTCTCTGGAAGTCTCTACGCTCATCAGCCGAGCTGCGATGTCGGGTTCTGATTTGTAGCGTGGTGGTGGTGTTCCGGGTACATCACTCCGGAATGAGTGATCTATTTCCGTGTAAAGTGGGGGCTGGAGGGGGTCCTGAGTGTTGGCCTTCCTCCGCTGACGGTACACCACCACAAACAGGATTACCGAGGTGATGGAGATGCACGCTGACACTGTCGTTGCTATAATAACGATCGTTGTGACTCCTGATTTTGTTTGCTCTAATTCTGACATGTCTGAAATGTATCGTGTGTCATACTTCTGGAAAGTGTTAAATCCAAGGTGCTAGAAAATTACAAAGTTCTTATATCACGGACGTTTTATACAAAGAAGCGCACTTGGCTAACTGAGAAGACAAGGAAATATTCCAAAAATAGCTGCTCTAGCGACGAGCAGTGCCAAGTGGTGGGAGATAAGGTGTTATCTGTACGTACTGAATCCCCATTCACCACTAGAAGCTTTACGTGTTATCCCGACAAATTTCATTACCACACATTAATCAACAAAGACGTAAAGAATGTGGCAAAATTCTGGAGGGATGGAAGAAGAGGAGCAAAGATAAGGTCAAGACTCTTTTTCAATGTATTCCGGGATAAACTTTCATTATGCAGTTACAGTATGTGTCTGGGTGACCTAGTTACAAGTGGTTCCAAATTGTGTGCCTCACAAATAGGTGACCTCAGTGACAGGGTTTGAGAGAGCGTAGGGCCCCTAAACCAGGACATATACGCCCTGTTTACCTCATATTAACGACATTCACAGCTTCCAGTCTATGTTATCTTTGTTCAGGTTACATGATCGGATACATCATGGAGCCAAATATCATTTCAGGGCGAAAAAATGTCCTAAATTCTAAAAATGTGGGGCAGTTTAATTGTTTATCCGGGTTTACGAGTTAGATGCATGCACTAATCTCAGCGTGGCTTGAACAATGAATGGTCACAAATCAATTAATTCCATTGCGCTATAATTTTTGTTTTAGACCAAACCTTGACACATTTTTATCACCACGATCTCCCAGTCGCGCAGAGTGCATAATCCAAATTCCAAAATATATGTTTTATAAGATTGACGAGACTGGTGTTGTCTAATATGTACTGTAACTCATAAACTTACGAATATGTCTAGATAATGGTTGTCTAACCTAAGCACATAGACCCGTTACAAATCGCACAGGAGGTTTCGTCCAGCTGATCTTGACAATCGTTAAATCCGTCGCAGACAAAGGAACAACTGACACAGCCTCCACTGAGGCACTTCACTTGTTCGTGCTCACAATGGTAGTCTGGGTGGAGGAAATAGGGGGTTAATCGCTTCATTATTGTGGAAAATTAATTAATAAAGTGATTTATCAAATGGTCAATAATGTGAGATTTTATATCGATATTTATCAGCAGGACAATATCAGCACTGATAATACCACTTCTTCTTAAAAAGGAATAATTCCAACGGAAAACTTTTAGGGACCACATTCTAGAAGCTAAGTAAAAACCCATATAAATGCGTGTGCTGCTTCAAAAATTATTTTGATATCATATGTTTTCGAATGATGACCAATAAAATAACACCCAAAATATCCCGGTTTCCACACTTATAGCAGTTTAGCAAAGCCATATGGAATGTCCCTATAAGTTTTGCAGACAGGTGTTTTTGGATAATTTTCACTAGTGAAGGGGCGCGGCCATTAATTAGTTTTAACTTGTTATTGAGGTCCTATTAGAAATATGTACCGTTTATAATTATTACGACACGTGCTTATAATAGTAAATGTAATATAAGAGAGAACAGTTTAAAAGGTTGAACTGGGCATTTGCCAGGGGTCTAATAACAACGATAATTTTTATACTCCAACAATTTCTGTTAAAAAAGTGGGCTTGACGTCGGTTTCCTTGTAATAAACACTGGAAGCTTCATTCAGGGGGCCCCAAATATAGATCATGAACGTGATATAACCATAAAATGGCAGCAACAAACTTCGGAAGTCTATAACCTGTTAAAAAAGGTGTGTTGTACTGTGTACACCATCTTCAGTATAATTTCTGGGGCTGTCAAGTCACTGTGATTGCAGACCAAATCAGTTTGAATGTTTGATACACTCAAGGAATGACCAACAACTGCTTTATATCAACACCTGCGTGCTAGACAGTAGACAGCGAGAATGCTAATCCTGTTCCAGTTAATTTGACCAAGGTCTACCCTAGCAACCTCCAGAGCTTGAGTATAATGAGACGAAATGAAACTCTCTAGAAGGACCTGGTCAACAACCCGTACCCAGTAATATATCTGGCGGGTCTGATTGGTTTTAGGCTGAATTTTTTGTAGTTGGTGGAATTGAAAAGTTCCAACTGTGACAACAGGAACACATAAAAATGTTTCTATTTCGAAACATATTTATTCTAGTGCTTGCACACGTCACGCCCATCTTGTTGTTATGCAAGTGGAGTTAATTTTATTTATATTTTTAACACGGGTTTCTCTTCAATGCTCATTCCCATAATGAGTGGATAATTGTTTTGATCCATTTTAGGCCACTGATGGAACATTAACTTCCACATTTCTTAATCCAATCAAAACCCAATGACTGCTCAAACAAGGTGATTGATTTCATCAGAGGATCGTGAAAACAACACGGCTATTATACTCATCCGCCGCTGAAGATAAGAGATTCACAGTAATTGAAAAGTAATGTTAGACTCTTCAAACGTATTGTAAGAACGGCTTCCCTCATTACATGACGGTTTAAAAGATAACGTGAGGTGGAAGTTACCATAAAGCTACATACCCACCGGGTAATACGTAGTATTTGAAGGAGATATATTCGTACCGTGGTAAAGCAAATCAATAATGTGTACTGTCTGACATCTTTTAGACAGTTACATGTGAACTTTGCCCTTGAATTTTTTTCTCACGGTCGTCGGAGGACTTTATATGTTGTCTTAGAGACACACACACTGTACAGGTCAAAAGGGCCGGGCCGCATTTTGGACCATCCCGTATAACACGATTAGTATAGCTAGGCCCCAGCTAGATACCATCGAATACCACTGGGGCTACCTCCAAACAATTTAGGGTTTAGTGGAGATAAACGTGCGAGTCTCAGGGTTTTTAAAGTGTAACCTAATTCCTAAAATACTGATAAGGTCCTGACAATTTGGCCGAAAATTGTGAAAGGTTAATAATATATATCATATATATAATATATATATGGTGTGTGTAGGGAAATTATTAGTGGTGAGCACTTGACGCGCTGTAGAACAGTGTACTCCCTCCTTGAATAGTACATATCGTGCATATTGTCTGTGAATATTGTATTAATACCCAAATCATGTGGGGCGAGTGACCAGCGTCTATGGGGTCTTATCTTTTCAAGCTGAAGATGTCACCGAGGAATTATTGAGGCATTTTTAGATTGAATTTCAGGGGTACACATTTGGGGATCTGATAAAAGTGTAAATCTGATTTCATTTTGCGGTGCTTGGCACAACGGGACTACGGGAGGAATAAAAGGATGCGTTATGACACAATCCACCAAGAAATAACGTACCACAGTTAGCCTCATCTGATCCGTCTTGGCAGTCTAACACCGTATCACAGACCCAGGAGTCCTTGATACATCGACCATCTGATTCACACTTAGAGGTGCAGTTATCTGGAAATAGTTCTAATCACAAATGATGGACAGCTTTTTTGTAAGCAATCTTGTGCGATCTACGTCTAATTACTATCATTGAATTCTACCGAAAAATTCTTATAAAAATAAAAACAGCTTGCTCGATTTCTAAAAACTCGCCGAATAATGGACTGTTTTTTTAATTTTTTATTTCTTTCCTAGAAAAACTATTGCGAGTAATTACTGTAATCGAATTCTAAGGAAAAGTTTTTTACAAAATTGATATATCAATTAGCAGCAATCTTTTACAGCTTGCCCTCTTTTTAAAAACTTGCCAAATAATGGACAGATTTTTGTTAGAAAACATGGTACGGAGTGACTACTATATTCTAAAGAACAAATATTGCCGTCAGAATCAATGTATCACAGCTTGCTAGCTTTCTACAAACTCGCCAGATTTGCCGTAAAATAAAATCGAATAAAGGAAAATCGACCAACCACTAAATCTTTCGCGTAGATCTGTTTACCAGACTTTCCCAAAATAGGATACATATAAAGGACAGGTTCACTTGAAAATTCTTACCGTAGCAATTCATCTCATCAGAATTATCAGGACAGTCCTGTACTCCGTTACAGATCTGAGTGTAGTCGATACAGCCTCCATCCGAACCACAGATCCAACCAGATGGACATATGTTTCCTGCTTCTGAATCTAATAAAGGAGATAAGGGTTACATAATGGCTTGTTACGAATCGTTAAATGATAACCGAATGATATTTGATATGCAAAAAAAAATGATAATTTATATTTCGTTATATTCTACATAAATGCAGAATTGCCGAAAATAGGGCTCGATTATTCGAAAATATTTTCCAATGACTTTCACAAATCTTCACCTCCACACATGAATTTAGATTCGTCACTCCAGTCACCACAGTCGTTATTACCGTCACATTTTATGTTGGGATCCACACATCTCCCATTATTACACTCGAACTGATCCTCGCACAGTGTAACTTCTGAAACAGCAGTGAAGTGATTAGAAACTCAATATAAATTATATATTTTGACGTCAAATGCAGTGCCGAAAGGTCGGAGGAAACGCCGTTTTCAGAGGAGAACTATTGATATTTGTATTTTGCACTCATGACTTTTACAAAACACTGCTAATTAGGAACTTAGCATGATTCAATCAAACTCTTCAATAAGAATTCGCTGTAAATAGTTTTATAAGCACAACAGATTCTTTCGTCATAACTTCGATACTTTCCGAGAAAATACTTATCATGAAGAAAACAGTGAAAGGTAAGGCCGTACGTTAAAAAGCGAGATGTCCTAGCAGTGCGTTAAAGCCTTTCATTCTAACTAACTGTACGACCAAGAATCCCGTCCATCCGCAGACTGAAACTCTAATTTCTGGACTCCGCTGAAGCGCAGACAGTCGGAGACGGCATAGTTTCGATATTTGAGGAGTTAAACTGGTTGTCTATCGTGCCGCTATTTGTTAAACTGGACATTCGTATAAATAAAAATTTGCTCGCGACTGAATTTTGTTAATTTATCGTACGAAATGCAGCTCTGTACACGAGTCGAGTAAGGAAACCAAACTTTTATCTTCTAATAATAAAGTATTGAAAGAGAGCATACTTAGAATTAGACTTTGTTAAAACATTTAACGACACTTGCACCTTCAAGGTTTACATATTGCTATTTATTGTTTATAATTGGAAACCTATCTACCGTTAAACTCAACTTAAGATAACTTCAGGTCACGGTAAAGAAGTATATGTGTCATACGCCCTGCTAAAACTGAGAATTTTAAAGAAAATTAACAATGCGCACCGGATGTTGGCCCCGATTCAAAGAATCTTGAAATCTTTTGCTGCATGAATCCCTCATGAGTTTGTTGTTCACAATCCATTGTTCATAATTAATATTACATAATACATATATCGCTTAAGTTCGTTTAAGATAACTTCATGACACGGTCAAGAAATAGGTGTGTCCATTATACGCCCTGCTAAATTTCAGACTCTTTAAGAAAACTAACAGTGCGGACCGGATATTGGCCCCGATTCAAAGAATCTTGAAATCTTTTACTGCACGATTCCCTTAATTTAGGGGTGAAAATAATAAAGATAACCGGATTAAGAACAGATAAAAACACAGGTAAAACTCCCATAACAAAACCCATGACCATAGTCGAAGTGTTCAAGTTCTCAAGGTCTAAGATCACTTCGCAGAGTGCAAACAGATACCCAGTCTGGATGACACCTCCAGCGTTTGTAAGGATGATCTTGATACTGCTCTTCTTATCCGCCTGAACGTGAGCCTTTATTTTAGGATTAGACCCTCTCTTGTAAGACTTGTGTTGGTGGTTGCTCATCAGGTGTTTGACTGTCAGAGCTGAAGCTACGATGGAGACAAGCTGACCCGGGAATGTGGGCCACGTGACCAGGAGGTAGGAAAATATTATCAATCTTCTCTTAGTATTGGACTGATCCACGTCACCCAAACCAAAGGCTTCCTCGTCAAACCAGGGAGTGAAGGTGTGGTAGGAGAAGAAGAAATAATCAGGTCTGATCGTCATAGAGCACACTAGGACTATGAAGACTCCGAAACAGTAGAGCACAATGGACCAACCGACAGTGTTCTGACTGATAGTCCTAAAGGGTTGACGTAGCTGCCGGAAACGGCAGATGGACATGGTCGCAGCAACAAATCCAGGGGTTTGAGAGAGGAGAAAATCAACACAGCCATAGATTTTTAGAATCATTTCACGTGCTTCTCTACAACTTTTCTCCTCCTTTTCCATCTCGCAGAGCGGCTCTCCTCCTTTCAGTACCTGGATCGATATAAATGTTCCCACAATCAGTCCTGTAGCGAAATCAATACTCGACAGCACCATGAACAGGGATCTCGGCACACTCCTGTGTTTCTTGTAGTTGTAAATGAAGACGAGCGTGTTCAAGAAGATTGATGCTATTGTCAGGAGGATAGAAAAGACTCCGATATAAATATCCGGGCTAGAGAAACCTCCGCGGCTATAAAGTGCCATGTTGATAAGAGAAGATGTAGCGAGATCCCCACACACACAACGAAACTATGATCGACACGAGCGTTATACTACAAGATTAGCAGAGTATATTACTACTAGATAATGCTGGAGAAGAGTTATAAGTGCATGCAGTACGTTAAATATTCACCAATGTCGTCTTACTACCACTAACATCATTCGTCAAATATAATTAATAAGCTTTCCATAATGGTGTGTGTGGTCAGTCATCAGGAGGAAAGACGTGATCATCAGTTAACTACAGACTTAATGGGCCACACTCCTTTTCAGGTGGACATTTGCCCGGCTAGATTAAAGTGGTTGAGGCTGCGTAATCACGGATCATTGCACGCACGTAGGAAGATGAGATTGTACAGGTGTAAAGATGTGATTATATATCCTTATAAAACAGGTGCCCGGTGCTCTGTTATCATCATCAACGTGATACAAGTTGTGACCTGTGTCTCCATCAGCTTGCGTGAGGTCATATCAAGTCTGTGATATCTCTTGTCACTCTTACACGTGAGCAAAACTTCTTGGCAACTTCAGGGAAACCAGACACTCAGAACTCTAACTGAGATTAACATCCAGCGGTGATTCTTGTTCATCAATCCAAGATAAGAATCAGATTCCTAATATCACCGTATCTTATTTCAGGGGAGCCGTAACCCTGTTGCAGGTTCGAATCATTGACACCTTCATCAGGTCTAGGCTGTGTGTAGCCTCCCGGAGAGGCATTCTGGGGAGTGGGGAAGCCTTGCAGGACTAATACACCATTTAAATTATCATACTGTGTAATTGGGGTAATTTTCAGGGAAGTGTAGATCTTGTTTCACGTGACTTCAAGACGTGGAACAGTGGGAGAAGCGGGTAGTTACAGAAATAGAAAAGTATTTCAAGAACGTAGAGGGCTGGGCAAGTATAAGGCACTGAGGTCGGAACCGTCTTTTATGAGCTTTTGTCGGGTTGGCACTTGTCACACTGCCTAAAAAATGTGTAGAAATGACATAAATACCAAAATACCTTCCCGCGTAGTACACTTGTGTACAGTTCTATGGAATTTTTGAAGGGATGCCGATGAAAATACTACTCTAATGAAAGTTTTAAAAATAAAAGAATATTGTTCCTTGACAAGAATCAACAAAATAATCATCAATGATATTTTACCCCATATCTTTGCTGACTACCAATATTTTGAGGGTATGATTGAAGTAGCAGTAAGCACTGAAATGATTAGAAAACAGAAATATCTTAAGTGCTGGTGGACATCATTGACGTGAAGTTACGTAATCCTTCAGCTTAACGACTGATTATTCGACTATTCGGCGGAAGGTTTAATGAGAAATTATATAAATTCCCTTTTTAATCATGATTTTAAAGGGAACAGAGTCTTAAATTAAATACTGGTGAACTTTCAGAGGACCAATGATATAGTTAACGGACGATCTATTTCCATTATAAAAGTTAAACAGTAACCGTATGCGATTCAGTGATTGCCAGATTCGAGATTTCCTTTGTCACGGAAATACTGCCGTGAAATGCCTGGTTTCTTTACAGTACCCAGCAGCAGCTACAATTTTTGTCACTTATAAATGAGATATGAGATAGGCTGTGGACGCAAAGTGCGATGTTGTAAATATACAAAAAATAGTATAGGCTACATTTTGCGATGGAAAATGATAAATACCGCAGGGTCAAAGTTGCAAAGTTATAAATACCAAAATTGAAATCTGTCAAGATGTGTTGATCGTGGCGAAGTATTCGAATTCCATCAAGATTATTTGGTGAAAACCATTGAGCACCCCAGTTTTGGTGGTAAGAGACCAGCTAGCAATCAGGTGTTCTGATTTAAACACCACCATAGTATTATTATGCCTGCTTATTAAAAATGTTACAACTTTCTTGAAGTGCAGAGTGTAACTGTTTCCAAGTAACAGTGGCAGTTCAATTTCAGAGTTACAATTTAAAATCCTCTTGTAACTCTGAAATTGAACTGCCACTGTTACTTCCGACTGTGAAGTTGATGGAAACAGTTCCACTCTGCACTTCAAGAAATGTGCACACTTGACCTGTGAGTAAGGAGTGTTATGTTTAAGGTCACCTGAAGTACTCATGAGATTCAACCACCGTCTCCTACAAGTAAATACTCAAGTACACACTTGGTGTACATGTCACGTGTATAAGTACATGTCACGTGTATACTTACAGAGTCTCTAGTTTTAGAAGTACACTCTAAGTACACACGTGCAACACTTTTAAAACACTGCTCAGAGAGGGAGAGAGAGTTTTTCCTGATGTGGCTAAAATTACTGAAGAGCTTGCTGATATTAATTACTCACATGTCGTATTACATACACTATACAGGGCCATAATGTCTACTAGTAATGTCAAACTCATCAGAGAGTCTCATTCCTATTTTCGTAACTGATCACTTAATTTCCCTAGTTCTGCATTAAGAATATATAATAAGTTACTGTTAATGAAAGTTTTGTACAGAGCTAAGATGCACAATTTGTGATTATACAATTATAGTAACCACATCAGTTAAAAAACCGGTCCGTGAACCTATATCATACAGGAAGCCAGCTCACAACCAACCAATCAGAACAGAGAACAGTGCTCACGTGGTTTAAACAGGAGGTTTCTAAGAGGGAATGTATTTGTGTAAAGCGCTTGGCAGGATACCACAGTTGACCATTATAGAGAGAAATCGTCTACTGTTATGAAACATCAAATGGTATCATCTGATTGGCCTTCAGTTTTGATTAAAGCATTTTATTAAATCTGCAGTCATCTTATATCAAATCATACCTCTCAATTTTACCGACAAGTCACTTCTAGAGAATTGTCCAACATTTAAGCGATATTTACGATGGTCCCATTATCTTTCTCGCTATTTTAAGCTCCAGTTTAACTGCCAACTAAAATTATATCATATATTGTACATAAATTACGATAAACCCATTCCATAACACAGAGAAACTTCCACGTCTGTTTAACTCCAAACGGTAAGCTGATTAAATCGCAAGGCATTATTGCTCAATAATCGGTTTGTTATCGACGCTACATACTTTGATTTTCCGACTTTAAAGCTGACTTAAGAAACCAGGGAATTACTTTTACCTTCCTAACATTAAATTGTTAATTTTATTTATATATTACTTTATTTTTTTTTCCTTCAAAACATTCCAGTAAATTGTAAATTAAATTAAAAATTTTGGGAGCATGTAAGGATTTAGATTTGATATCGATCGTATATACTAAAAATGCTCTAGCACAATTGTAGCTGCAGTTTTACAGAACTCTAAATGCTTAATGAACACACTTGCACTTTGCAGGTACCACCCGTATTCACACTCTGACCTAAGTTTAGTCTTTTTTCCGATACGAGATTGGGGACGGGTTCTATAGACAAACAAACAAACAAACAAATCGCATCAATCACTCTGAACTGATATAAGTTGCTTCGGAATGTGATAGCTATTAAATCTTTCTTGAGATTACATAACGAAAATAAAAATGGACTACAAAAGTCAAAATAACCATTTCTTACCATTCCCAGGACTGTCGCAGTCACGCTCATCGCTAAAGTCCTCGCAGTCGTCATAGCCGTCACACACCCACAGCTCTGACACACACCTCCCGTTGTCACACGTAAACACGTCGTCACGTGTCTCACAATCCATCTGGGAAATGAAGGGTTTTAAACTGTTTTGTTGGCTTCATTGTTCAAATACCTAAATATTTCCCCCACTGTGGTGTGGGCCAGGGTTTCTCAATGTAGTTTACTTTTCCAGGAACTCAACAGGCTGCATCTAAAATTGAACTGTTTCAAAAAAATATAACCTTTTGCGAATTCATTGTCCTAAGTTTTAACTTTAACCATTGTCCATTTGTTGTGCTATTAAATTGGAAGGGTGGAGTTAATAGTACAATACAAGAGCATTTCCTGTACTTAAAAGGGAGAGACAATGTGTAACTCTTGCCAAGAGCACCTCGTGCTACATTCCTACAAGACTACACAAAATGTTACAATATGAAATTCTAGTAGCAACATTAATTTTTAAGTGTCTCCGTCATCAATGCTTTGGCATAGATCATACTTGGTGAATTTGTTAAGAACGCGGCCTTGATAAAAACTAAAGATACAAAGTCTGACAAATAAATGATATACTGAAAACTGAAAACTGAAAAGTGAAGACGGTATGATATTTTGAAATTGTGATTTGTGACACACATCATACCTCGGTAGTGGCGGTGGCACAATCTTCCTCGTCCAATCTGTCATGACAATCGTAGTTTCCATCACATACCATAGATTCTTGAAGACACATGTAACCATCCCATCCGTCACACAGAAGCTCACCTGTCAGTATTGGAGTTTAAATCGATATAAACAATAAACATCTAGAGATTGAAATAAGTTTAAAAATTACTATAATTATATTCTGATATACTTTATTCCAGCAGCGAGTAACAAATTTAAAATCGTCCACCTGCCCCTGTTAAATGTACGGCTTGGAAATCGGAGAAATAGAATTTTCCATAGACTGACCTTATCACGAGTTATAATCAAATTACAAAGAAAGTTCGAGAAACTTTAATCTTGCCAGTTATCTAATTTTATTATACTGTTACATCACACATGTTTTGGTCCCGCATTTATTGTCCACGCACGGAAATTGGAAAGTAACAGTGCCAACTATCGTACTTCATGGACGAACTGGACATCGGTTAATATCTACTGATGTAGTTCGAAGAGCTGCTCAAAGTACTACATGATTTCAACTTCATAAAAAACATTATGGTTCACATTACCTGGCGCACAGAACGCTGGTGTAGGGGTGGTACATCCCACAAAGGTTCGGTCTGGTAGATCCTCAATCCTGTACCCGCGGTAGTTCTGCAATTATACACAGTTAGTACTACTAAAAAGAGTTTTGAGTAACACTACTTGATCTTAATGTCCTAACCTTATAACTTATAAGAATTTCTCGACTCCAATTAATCAGCTTTGCCACTACTACGTGATTCTGTTGAACCATCACTAACACATTGTCAATATATTTAAATTGTGTCTCTCACAGTGCTCGATCATTTGATTGGAATTTTCGAAAACTGGAAGAATACTACTCACAAACCGGATTTACACTCCACTGATGTCTGATTTTGATGCAACCACTTTTTACCATAAAAATAATAGCAAGCTTCAATGTTTGCATTAGTAAAGCAAAATCAACTATATCTGCGTTTCTTGGAAATTTGTCGCGGTTTGTGTATATTTTATTAAAACAAATTTCCTAGACCACAGAATCGGTAGGTGTAAGTAACTTCACACAAAATCACGTGACTTAAAACAATAGCAATATTTGCAGTTGAAGCAAACAAAACAAATATGTTCAAGATATTAGTGAATACGTAGTGTTTGCGACAAAAAATTGTCTTTAATGCTGCAACGAATATTATAATCCCTTCGACCAATTAGATATATACAATTATATTGTCATCAGATCCCAGAGGAACAACAATTTCAACTGTTTAAAATGGCGAAATATGCTAAAGACGTTACAAAAATGTATTATTGGATGATAATACTTACACTTGGATTAAAGCATGTGATATCAATCTGAGCATTTTCCATTTGGAAGGAGCGTGAAGGTTCGTGCCACGAGTTCATCGAACAATCGCAGTCAACGGTATTTGCTATCCTGATAAGTTGCTTAAGTAAGAATTTATATTAATGATATAAGAATTGACATCAATCTAAGTTTAACCCACTGAAAATATCAGAAGATAGGTGGTATATTCGAATTATCTTAGTCGACTTATTTTTCCGCCATTATATTACGAAATATTATAAAGATACTACTCACAGTGATTTTAAAGCGTAGTTATTCTGAATAAGTTGGTAGGAGATGTGATTTAGCTGGGGGTTGTCGCTTACGTCTCTGAGTAAAGAATTAAATATGGTTAACCTTAATCTGCTTACGTCTCTGAGTAAAGAATTAAATATGGTTAACCTTAATCTGCGTCGTTTTGGGTGGTTATACCTACCTCAGTTTCAGTTCCAAGTCAACATTTCCGACAAGCCGTTAGCCGTCGAGCAAGGATTATTCATTGAGCTCACTAAATTAGGTAGTTAACCAACAATACAGTTCAACAATTTACGATTGTATTGTACATATTTTAGTACGTTATTTTGACACGTATGGATAAATTGTCAGGTGGTAACTCTGGTAAGGTCGTAAAACCGGAGAATCAGTCGAGTATTTAACTATTTTAGATTTGATGTGCCGAACATACTGAAACAGTACTAAAATGTATTCCGACATTTCCCATGCTTATTAAGATTAACTGTATTTACTGTGTCTGGACCAATTTCCTGGCCGGTCAATTAACCGCGATATCAAGAAAAACAACTCCCACTACTTTCCCAACTATGTATACAACAAATAATGTAGAACAAAAGTAAAGTCAAACTTTTTAACTGTGAAAGGACTTACAAGTGTGTTAAATGGTTGTTGTTATCAAATAAAGATTCTGATAACTCGTAAAGCAGATTGTTTCTTATGTTCCTGAAATATTATTCAAATGATCAACATAAAAATGTTAAGGTTTTTCAGTTATAAGAGTTTCCCCACAAACATTGCATCACTAAAACAATCAGAAGACCTAATAAGTACATTAAAATTAAGAATCTTACAATTCATTACTTCAATTTATTAAATAATTAGGTCTCTTTAATTTGAACTTACACAACTTTTAATCTGACATTGTTTCTGAAGGTGTCTCGATGTATTGCTGTTATAATGTTGCTTTCTATGTAACTGCGAATAAAGGGCTTTTTAAAAAGTCATATTTATGAGTTTAAAAAGTAAACGGAGTACCAAGCGATGGTTATCCTCAAGCCAGTAGCGCCACAAAAGAAACCAAATTGGCAACTTGGCTTTCAATTTACGATTGCATAGAGAGTTCTCATATGCTTTTATATTTGTCCATCCCCAGCATAATTAAAGAATTCCCCTTGCAATGAGTATCTTTATTCTTCAAATCAAGATCTAAATCACTTACAGCTCCTCGAGATCATAGAGCTCAGCAAAGCTGGTTTCTGACAGTATCTGCACTCTGTTATCACTTAGATTTCTGTAGAAACAGTATTTTAATTTCCAATAACTCTGAGCAAAATAAAAAATGATCAGAAATTATTCTCCTTGACATTACTGAATACTGAGTATCAGAACGATTAAATAAACACTCACAATATACGTGTAGCTGAAGGTAGCCCAGGTGGAATAACTTCCAATAGTGACTCGACACATGTGACAACGTTATTTTGACATGTGCAGAGAGTAGGGCAGCTGGCCAGTAGGTGGAAAAGAGATAGAAGGAGGAGGATGTAAGTAATCATCACATTCTAGGAAATATTATTATTGCATAAATTCAAAAAATGTTAACCAAATGGGTGAAATGCTAAAAGCCAGCTGCTATGAATTGAAATTAAGAGTAAATTCTGTCAAAAAATTGTAAATTTTAATAAATAACTTAAATAACTATACCCAAACGACCTAGTTCAAATTGATAAACTTCTTCTTTGCTGGATAGAGATGAAACCACAGATAATCATCATGCTTTCTCTTTTTTTTATTAAATACTTTTCAAATTTTACAGAGTAGAGCAATAAATGAATATAAAATAGAATCGTTCAAAATATCGCCCCCGTCTGTAAAATAAAATGGGCACCCAAACACGGTCAACACATACTGAACTATGTGTGAACTATGTGTTTATACCTTATTCTATCGAATAAGGTATAATTCTCTCAGGAAGAAAAGCATTACGAATGTTCCTTGATTTAGAGCTGTTAATATTGCACTTTATCTTTGATATACCTGGTCTACTGATATTAAAAATATCTGAACCATTTTCTACTAAAACTACTAAGCTTCCTTTCACGGAAAGCCAGTTACCTGGCAACGCCCACTCATGATGCTTCTCCAAGCTCACACAAATGTAAGCGAGGAGGAAGATAGTCATGCATTTCTGCACGAGGAGCCCATCACAGCAACCAACAATTAATTTGTAGTTTCCAAAGCTGAGGCCCTGTACCAACCTCAGCTTGGTGGACTGGCTGGATCTCGAAGGGAGAACTGAGAGATACCCAGTGTATAATTTTTTGACCCCAGCGCGTTTGAACCAGGGACCTCTGGGCTGCCAAGCCAAAGTGGATACCACTAGGTTACGGCGGATTCTTCCTTCAGCTAATGTACAGGGTGGGCCAAAAGTCAGTACCCATACGTTGGCCTTTATAGCTCAGTCACTGAATGCCCAATTGAAATAATTCTTTCTGGTATGACTTAGTACCACCACTGGTTCGAGGAATTTGTCAACTCGAAAAATATTCGTGTTCATTTTTTTTCGCATTTATTTGATAATTTGGATAGTCGGATCGAGCTAAATTTTACTGAATTTTCTTTGGCCATTCGAATTACGTTTGTCCTGAAAAAATTAGAGTTAAAGCTTCTCAGATGACCGAGATACGAAGCATAACGAGTTTATTCATTACATGCGATCAGGTGATTGGCTTACCTAATCACGTGATAAGGTGAACCCGTTAACTACCCCGTTAAACATTATGGGAATCGTTAAGGCTGCCCAATTAAGGTGTCGTGTCACGGTGTCACATAATCACCCAATCAATTTTGCTAACGAGATACACAAAATTCTTGATAAATTCGTCATTTCTAATCCGTTTCACATAATGTTTTCAGATCAGATGCAAAATGTGATAATCTACCGTCTCAGAAAAAATTAGGAGTCCAACATGTTCAGAGAGAACAATATAAATGTTTTAATATTGAATGGGCGTGGTCTAAAATATTCGAATTTTCAATTTTTGGCGACGAAATCCTCGAACAAGTAGGTACAGTATGCCATCTGCAAAGCAACAACTTTCAAATATAAAACACGGCGGAGGTATAAGACCCAACGTATGGGTACTGACTTTTGGCCCACCCTGTAGTTATATTAAGAATTTCCAACCTGCTGCTGTATGTATGGATTCCACAGTTGTACACAATATTCAGGATGGGGTCTTATCAAAGATGGGGTCTTATTAAGACCCCAAAACAGTTTTATCGCTAACAATCAAATTTCTGACTATCCAACATATCATTTGGCTAGCTTTAGATATTTATCCTTTTATCTGCCACAGATCAAAAATATTTGTAAAAAAGATTTGAACACAGTGGCGTAACTTAGGGCCCCGCAGACCCCGCTGTGCGGGGGGGCGCCGTATAAGGGGGGCGCAATTTTCCTGAATTTTAGGCCCTTTCACTGAAAAAACGTCTTGTTTGTGTATTTCCCTGTCCAATTTAGCGTTCGGCCGACGCGAAAAAAATATTTGGGGTACCCTTTTTTTGCTTCAGGGGGGCGCAAAAAGCCTTAGGGGGGGCGAGAAAAAAAGTACCCGACCTTTTTTTTTTTTTTTTTTTTTTTTTTAGGGACACAAAAAATTTTAGGGGGGCGCTTTTCGTCACTGAGCGGGGGGGCGCCAACAGGCAAAGTTACGCCACTGTTTGAACAGGGTCGTTGCTCTAACCAGAGCCCTTCTGCGCCTGCAGTAGCAAGTCACGTAGTAAGCGTAGGCCCATTGTTAGATGAAGCAGGGTCGTACATTACTGAGCGGCGCTCAGCCTGTCTTTCAACCAAACATTATAGCCTGGGGTCCCCAGGTTAGTACAAGTAGTCGTACAGTAGTCCATTTACAACAACATGGTATTGCACAAGCGTGAATTTTAAAAATACATTTTATTTCTATCCAACCAAGAATTCAGGAGGCAACCAAGAATTCAGGAGGCAAAGGTGGGTCTGCACTCTCCGATCCTGTATCACCCTGGATTCTTTTCGACTTATCTTTATAAAAGGTATATACCTTCTAGTCAATCTCTTGCTACTCCAAGTCCCATAGGATATCTGATCTTAAGTTCGTGCTAGTTATATATATGAAATATATTTGTGTCTGCTTTAATTGATACTAAATAAAATTGTTGTTTTCTTGAAATTGTTGTTTTCTTATTATTCAGAACTTTTCGTGCATCAACACCAAAAGGAATCTATCTCTGCCCACAAATCCGTTAAAGACATGGGGGGTCATATCAATATCTGATTACCAATGGTCTGCTCATATCAATCAGACGGCTGATGGCACTAAAATGGTTTGGTACATAGATTATTGCAAATCAAAATAAAGCACATCTGTCCTGCTGCCCATATAGAAGCTTCTTAAGGAGTTAAAATGCATTTTGCTTTATATATTAATTCTGTTCCAGAATACTCAAATTGCCCACGAATCTGCTATCCTTGGTTTCTGCATGCAGGATATTATATATATATTGTGAAAAGCTAATTCTTTGAGAAAGAAAATTTAATTATTTAATTATTTATCACCAATTCACCAATATGATTAAATTCAATTTTAAGATTTTATACAGTATATTTCTGAAAAAGGTGCTTATAACTGTTTCTCAAACATTAAAGCTATAATGTTTATTACCTCATACCTAGCACGCCAATTCCTAATGCACAGCGCTAGAGATTCAGCAGAATGACAGGCTGAGCACCGCTCAGTAAAGTTTGATAATCTATTACTCGTTTTTCTCACGAGTTAAGCTCGAAAAGAGTGCCACGTATACAGTATATGGTATAGAGATTAAGGATAGGCGCGTCTGGTATTGCTCTAACCAGAGCCCTCTCACTTGCAGTAGCGCGCGACCGCCGAAGTCGGTTGTGAAACAAGCGCGTCACGCAGTACGCGTAGGCACATGGCTATGTGAACGTCTGGTACTATACGTGGTAAAACTTTGCTCATTATCAATGGACTGACCAGACGAGCGCAACTCTGTAGTATTTGTCTCGAGAATATTTCAAGAAGAAAGCGGCGCTCGCGTTGTAGCGCGATGCGTTACTGTGCCGAGCCGCGCACTCAATGAGGCTTCTCGCTAGATCGGCGAGATGCGCTACTGTGCCTCGCCGAGCTGCGATGAATTGACATCGTCAATTAACGCTCGCGCTACTTCGAAGAAATTTAGACGAGTATCATCAGTCAAGTAAGGTAAAGCTCTGCTAATTAATCTTGTCATACGTTGTATGACCCGCCGCGCACGAAGTGCGCGGCTCCCCCTGTATCGTCACCTAGTGAAACGACCGTGGGTGTCACAACGTGATACAAAATTAATTCACACCGGGTTTGTACATTCAATAATAACAATAAACATGGACAATGCAGCTCTGAGCTTGCTTTGCTCTATCCGGATCCCTTGCGCTTGCATTGTGTATTGATGATTGACATACGTTGCCGCCGTGGCGCACGCCCGCCTCCTGGCTTGTGAACCAAGCGCGCACGCAGTGGCGCGAAAGCACATGGTTAGTTGAAGAGCACCTAACCATTTCTTCGAAGTAGCGTCGAGCGCTACTTCGAAGAAATTTAGACGAGTAACATCCTTCAACGAGTAACATCCTTCAACTTTTTACCTAACATTTGAATTTTTGTAGTGACAGGATGGGTCCCCACCAACCATTCTTCCTTGTGTCATGTGTACTTGCTTCAAGTTCATCATCTCCTTTTTCTAACAATCATGGTGTCTTCATTGACTAATCGCATTAGTGAACCGACAGTGGGGGTCACGACGTGATACAACACAGACTGGTCAAAATCTAATCACGCCGGCCCTTGAAAAGAGCGCCGCGCATGCCTTGCTCTATCCAGAGCCCTTGCGCTTGCAGTAGCGCGCGCCCGCCTCACGCGCCTGACTTGTGAAACAAGCGCGCCCGCAGTGGCGCGAAAGCACATGGTTAGGTGAACGCATACCTATTACCCCCAAGTCTTGTAGCGCGATGCAACACTGAACACTTGACGGATGTTACTCGTATAAATTTCTTCGAAGTAGCATGCGCCGCTTTCTTCTCTGATGGCAAGTGCTACGAAGTAGCGCGCGCCGGGCCAGATCATTAACAATGGTCAATGCACCACTTGGCCACGTCGAGCTGCGGTGCGAAGGATTGACATCGTCAATCAACCCAACTCAGGACTCAGTTTCAAGTTTCCTCCGCGGTAGCTGGTAGGTATACTATTACTGATAATATCTGCTCAGATAAAAGAGTGAAGATGAATCGCATGATATGAATACAGTGTATTTCATGAGGTGAACTAGCTGCATGTTATAACGAACGCCGTGTCTATTAGATGTACAATTGCAAATTTTTCGTTCCCACTGAACCGGGAACAGAGAAGCTTCTTGCATCACCACCCAACTTACATAATACGCGTATTAGTCAGGAGATTTGTTACTCATAGTCATGGTCATTTGCCATTGACGATATCAAGTTTTGCTGCTCGTGACGCCGTGACGGCTAGAAGCATGATTTCATACTCGGCGTGACCGTTATACAACTCTTTTTAAGATCTCGCGAAGAAACATACTACATTAGTGAGTGTTGTGGAGTTTTTAATTTTAAATAGTTATCGTTGTGACTCAAGGCAATGTCAGGATACGTAATATGTGAACGACCTCTTATAAAGTTTCAACAATTGTAAACAATGATTTACAGTAGGCCAAGTAAAGCATTCATGTACATTACCAAGCGTTTATTTAAAACAGTATCGAAAATAACAAAAGCTTTAAAAGGGGGCAATTTATAACTACAAAGTAAACTGTAATTCTAACGTAATGTGGAAATAATTTAATTTTCCGAATAAAACCTAATTTCATAAATGCGATTCGTTTTCATCCTCATAATCAATGTCCAAATATTATTGACAAAATTTCTTAAAAGTGCAGTCACCCTCAGGTCTCTGAATCCCAAGCAAAGCGTCTAATGTTCAAACCTCAGTCATACGTTAATCTATGGACAAATTCACTTAAGTTGAACATAAAAATCATAAAATCAAACTAAAGGAAGGCTCGATGACGTTTGAAGAAAATAAAGTAAAAATTCTTGGTGCAATTTTAGAATTGCCAAACCATTTAAATTCACATTATATCATAATGCAATGCGAATTAATTTTACATTCCCGCAGGGGTCTCAAAACAAGGTTTATATAAAAATAAAGCACTAAATATTTCAAATGGAATCTATCTTATGTGTAACTAAAAGAATTATTCGTCCACGAGACTACGCTTGAATTTCAAAGTCAGAAACCTAGCCAATCTAAAACCAGTGGACCATTTTGGTTTTCGTGCCAATCCGGTTGTTGCAAGCACAAGTACCGTACGTGTCAGTGTCGCGTTTTTCATGGCATATGAAAAAGATCTAGATGTTGATAAGCAACTCTGATGAGCGAAAAACTGCGATTATTTAATCAAAAATCATTAACAATTTAATGGAACAGAAAACTCATCAAAAGCTCAAAGAACAGAGACATTTTCTAAAATAACCCATAAAAACAGACTATCATAATTCATTATAGATATAGTTTATATCGTAACATACAAAATATTCTTTTCATCAAATCATTCAGAGTCGGAAGGGTCCCTTGTTCGTCAAAAGTACAAATCACTCTTCATCCTATGATATCAGGAGTGCGGCGAGTATATTATATAACACCTAAGTGCAGTATTAGAATAAACCCTACGTGTCCTGGTTGTCCTGCAGTTTCTTGAACGAGTATGTCTGAGCGTGTCGGATTTTGGCTAGCTGTTTTCGGGCCTGTTCCAACTCCCTTTCCCTCCGCAAGATCTCCTCCTGCGCCTGGAGCTCAGCAGCCATGGCGTACACTGCACTACTCTGGACACTCACCTCAACCTGGGAACACGGCATATTTGTTTAATATAAATAATCTTAAATCGTAAGTTAAAACAATTTGTAGTACATAAGTCATAATATACACTTGCACTGATAGAGGTGCGACCTAGAAGAGTATAAGAGCGAAATACGCTCAGCGTACATGTCTATGATAAATAAAACACCGACCTCTTGTTCGTCGAACACAGACGCTGATTGAGCTGCCTTGACCAGGCAATCAGCTGCCCTCTTGACCTTGTTACCAGCCGTCTGGAGACGCTGTGCGTTTTCTGAATGCTGATCCGCTTTAACCATGCAGGCCATCAGCAGCTGGGCTGTGGAGTTAGCTACTCCCTTTGCAGATGCGATAAGCTTCTCTTCAGAGGCATTTCCCTGGTAGGAGTAACAATTAGGGTTTAACTAGAATTAAATTACCCAGCTCCTAATTACTGATGGTATTTTTATTTTCATCAAACAAAATGCAAGAAATAAAATAGTATAAAGGCATACCTGCACGGCAGCATTAGCGGCTTCACACAATGTGCTGGTGGCAGCTGCCACCATCCTGGCAGCACCAACCAGACCCTCTGACCAGATGCTCTCTTTGTCCAGATTTGTTGTCGTCACTCGGCCCTGTCTTGCCAATTCTCGCTGAGTAGCAGATGCAACTCTAACCAAGGCACTGGTGGCACCAGCAATTGCCTTAGCTGCTTCCAAAATCTGTTCTTCGAAGTTGAGAGACTCGTCCACTTTCTTTCCTGTTTTCTTTCCTGAAAATGGTCATGTGTTTAAAAAGTGAATACCCATTTCATACTTCTAAAAATTGTACATAATTTTGAGATATAAAGTCCAACTTTCAAACTACATATATATGACTCAAATCTCGCATCTTCAACTTACTGGGCTGAAGCATTGACAGTTTCTTGGCAGCAGCCTCGATACTGGCAGCAGCATTGAGCAGTTCGTTCTCAGCAATAACATTAGGATCATCAGGGTTAACCCAGTCAGCTCCAGTCTTCATTTCCTGGAGTCACGTCGATCATGAGCAATATTCAAAAAATCTCTAGAATAAAAAGTGCTCCACTTTAAGTACTCAAAAATCGTTTATTACAGTCACCAGGGAGCAGGAGGCGAGCTTACCTCAGCACAACCGATAGGATTTCCGGTGCTTTCAGCGATTTGCTTGGAATACTCGATGAGTTGTTTGTTCTCAAGTTGAACAAAGGCAATATTTCAAAATAATTTCTGGAATCAAAAACCCTTCACTCGATATTTAAAAACGGTGTAATACAGTAATCAGGGAGGGGAGCTAACCTCAGCACAACCGATGAGATTCTTGACGCTTTCAGCGATTTTCTTAGAATACTCGATAAGTTGGCTGTTCTCAGGTTGTCCAGCAGAAAGTGATTCACACATGTACTCCAACATATCCCGATAGGCCATACTCGTACTGCGACCAGCTTGTAACACCTGATTAGAAGAGGTTTTACTACACTTCGGTTATAATTATACAGTTTCTTCTATTGTTGTGAATTACACTTTCAATGCAATGGAGCATCAAATCGGAAAAGAGAACGGCAAGGCCCCACAAATGGTATGTGTTTTACCTTGAGCTTGAGTGCCTCGCTCTCCGCGTTATTAGAGGCTCCCTTGCACGTGTTCAACATGTCAGTGATAGCCTTGCGACCCATGTTACCCGCAGCTGCAATGTCGTCTTGTTTGGCTGTGTTACCTGCTGCCACTGCTTTTGTAGTAGCAATTGTGATCTCCTTAGCGGCTCTGATGAGGTCCTAGAGAGAGTGAGAGTTAGAGGACGAATTGTTTTTATTTTGTATGAGAATAAGAAATAATATCAGATAAATGTTATAGTGATTTGAAGTAGAACGCTGGAAGAAGTAATTGTATTGACTAAATCTGAAGGTAAAAACAGCTGTTGATTAGTTTCTACAGTAACATTTGTAGAGATGTACCTTGGTTCCACAAAGGTCAAATTAAATGCTTCGCCAAGTTTAGAATGATAACTAAACTGAACGGAGGTGCAATACTGTAACGCTGTATTATTTTTCATAACTCTGAAGTTCACTTGAATTGAAAATGAAATGCTGTGGTGCTATTGCCCATGCTGTCTTCTGTGAAGAAATGACTGTAAGTATAACATAATACTGCACTTGGAGAAAAAGTGCTGAACAAAATGTAAGTGCTTAAATTGGAGCAGAGAGTGGATACGATTCTCCTAAAAATAAGATAAAATTAAACCCACTGTTCCGTCCCTAACAAAATCCTTCCCCAAACTTAGAGCAGAAGAGACAAACAGAGTAATTTGAAAGGTAAGAGAAGTTTGAATCAGAAAAATCATGAATGGGAACTGGGATGATTAATTGCGGTTCCATTCTTAAAATTGCTGTTATTGCTGTTAAGACCAAAGCGGAGAAGACGGTTTTCCGAGCGAGAAAACTTAAAAGATCTGTTTCATCATCCCATGGAGGAAATATCCACATTAACAAGTGCAGTGCCCAGCAAATCGGAGACATAGAATCACACTCGGCAGGTGACATAAGAATCACACTCTTCAGGGCAGGGATCACTCGTTCTTTAATTCTACCTGGGCATTTGCCATCCTGGCCTTTTCTTTGGTTGCTTCGGCACTTGGCCTGGACATAATGGAGCTCTGCAGGCGCGGTCTGACCTGAACTTCCGCGTCAGAGTCAAAACCATCGGAGTCAGAATTGCCTGACTAAAGGTTGTGCCAGGGTTAAAAAGGGGGTTAGTTGTTTGTGCTAGTGGTGCTCGACGGCATTTATGTTTTAGAAGAATGTGCTGTAAGAGTTTGGTAAGTATTTAATGAGCCCCTCTGTTGGTATTATAGTTTAACGTTAGCATGCATGTTTTGGAGTTTGGTGATCTTTGGTGAGTTTACGGTATAAACATTTTAATGCACTCGGTAATATACGTAAAAGAAAGCTTGATCACATATGACGTTAGAAATACGATGACCATGATTGCCACAAATATATTTAGAAAACAGCTCCATGACTACCTCTGGAGAAGCTGATGCAGCTCCAGCTGAAGCGTTGTCCAGAGCTTTGATGTCGCTGGAGACGGCGTCCACTGCAATTTCTAGAGCTCTTGTTCCTCGGCTGGCCTTGTCTTCAGCACTCTTCACTGTCTTCAATAAAGAGCTGGTGGGAATAGAAAATTAGTTAGTTAAATACATATTCAACATCGGCGGTAAATCGGACGCTGGGCGCGGTAAATTGGGGTTTTTACTGTAATTGGAAACTAGAAGTAGTACCGAACACGCGGTAAATTAGGGTTTTTATTGTAATTAGAAACTAGATGATGTACCTAACACTTTGAACCATCTCTTTAGCGCTACTCTTTAAATTGTCCATGGTATCGTGCTCACTAGATTTACCACACGCGTCTTTGGTGGAATCGATCAAACCAGACAGTGCCTTAGCAACATCCATACAGGCGTTCAGCAACATAACCTGGGTCTCAACATCGTCAATAGACAAAGCTCCAGCACCACGTTTAACTGCGTCAGCAAGGTTGGAGATGGTGGTTTGAGCAGCTAGGGCAGCCTGCTTGAGTTGAGCCTGATCTGCTGCAGCTCCTGCAACCAGTTGTTTGGTGTTCTCTACCAATTTCTTAGCGGTTCCTGAGGGGAGTAAATGTCACGAACCACACGCAGAATATTAAAAGAAGTCTATCCGAAATTCAATTTCCAGGCAACTTCTTAAGAATTTCGCCATGTCTCGGCGTCAGAAACTTACCAAGAATATTTTCTCTGTGGTTGGAGAAGGGTTCTCCTGTGTTCTCCAGAGCGCCGGTCCTAGCGAACATCTGCATGGTTTCCAAATCTCCGGTGATACCGACAATAGAGTTAATAGTGTCGATACACGCCTGGGTTCCTTGACTACTTTGCTGCAGTGACTGTAGGAGGAACGAGTTAGCGAGCAAATCAAAGATATAAACTTAACAAATTTGTTGAGTGTCTAAGTAATCATCACAACATGATTTACCATGAAGTAGTCTAGCTGTTTAACAGTGATAGTAACACAGCAAATTACTCAAATATCACAGTTGTTTATAGGTAATTCATCATAATTTAAGGTGGTACATTATACATTCAGGTGATCTAGTATTAATTAAAGTATGCCCCCTTTGGCACCGGCATAACTATATCAAGTTATGGCAAAGAAACATTAATAATTTGAAGGTATGTTTGGTAAACTAACCTGAAGGATAGCGTGTACACCATGTGCAACTCCCTTGGCATGTTCACTCAGTTCTCTCCGGGAGATGGAATCCTTAGGATTACTCTGAACAGTAGCGCTTGTTTTCACCAGCTCAGAACAAGGATTAGCCAGCTTGTCTGTGGCGTCCCTGAGAGGCTCTGTACCCTGGCTGTCGGCACACTGTCTCACGTTATCCACCAGACTAGCGTACTCTTCAGATATAACCTGAGCAAGATCGGACAGAGACTCGGGGCTGAGACTGGCCTTACCGACCATGTCCTGGCCAGCACCAGCTATAGCTCTGGCATTGTTCAGGATAGCCTCGTGTTGAGCCATCACGGAAACACTTTCTTCAACTGGGTCGTTGAGAGTTCCACGTGACTTGGCGATATTCTCAATAAGTGAGGTGGACAGACCACTTTCAGGAGCCATTTCCAGGGTAAGTCTGAGGTCCTTGATAGCCTCATCGACAGCTTCAACATCCTGGTCTAATTTAGGATGAAGAGCAGTGGCGTTGGGGTTCCCTCCGCAATCTTTAGAGGTGCTTAACATATCGGACATTGCCTCCATCAGAGTTCTAGCCTGGAGTGGGGAGGACAGTTAATCATTTATATCGTGATGTAATCGTGAAAGTGAATATAAATTTCCGACAGTCGGGACCCTACAAGAAAGCTTGAAAGTTAAATTGTAAGAACCTGAGAGAAGAGGTCCTGTTGTCGATCCATGTCACTAAGTTTAGATGCAGCTCCAATAGTAGCACGAGATACAGGGTCAAAGTACAAAGACAATGTAGCCACGTTGTGTCCAAGCCTCTCGGGGTGACTCTTTGCAGACTCCACCAGAGGTTCTATCAGATCCTTTATTTCCATGGTTGCTGCTTCGAGCTGGGTCTGGTATCCCTGTAAATTTGTGGCTTCCTGTGGTCTGAGCTGTCCAGCAGTGGCACTGATGGCGGCCTGTTCCATCTCGGTCTGAGCACACTTCAGTTTCTCGAGAGCCTGGTCGCAAGGTTTTTGTCCAGGCACATTTTCCTTTACTTGGTCAAGTAGATCCTTCACGGCATTCGACACAGATTTAGCCTGTAGGAGGTACAATATTGAAATTTTCAATTATATTGATCATTAGAATGTTTAGTGATTCAAAACATTTTCAAATTAAAAAGCAGGAAGTGAAAGTGAGAAGACTGACCTGAGTGATAAGGAGCTGCATGTTGGTACCATCGTTAGGATTGAGAGCTAAGGATCTGGAGAACTGGAGAAGTTTAGTGCTGGTGCTAGTGAGTTTGTTACCAGCATCTATCACACACTGCTGTCCTGCCTTACCCTGGGGACTGATTCTGGCTGCAACTGGAGCGAACTCTGGAGACAGAGCAAAGTCTCGGAGGTGTTCCACTGATACCAGGAGAGGCTGAGCTGCCTCCCTACAAGCCTCCCTGTTCTCGGGGGTCAATTTGGTGGCCAGCGCCTTGATGCTCTTAACAAGCTGAGCGGTGCTGTTAGCCACATCCTTGGCGCACTGTACAAAGTGTCGTTTAGCCACGGGGTTGTCACATTTCTGGGACGCTGACTTGCAGGCGTTGCACAATTTGGAGGTGTGCTGAGCTATTTGAGTGGCAGCAGCCAGCACTTCCTGTTGTGTCAGGTCGGGCTGTGTTAGTTTCTCTACAGCAGCACTGATAACCCTGTGAGCGTTGTTGTAGAGGTCAGGGTCCACAATACCAGGGGTAGCTGCGGTGCTGTTGGGATCTGATACTCCCACCAGGTAGGCAGTCTGAGCTGCGGCATCTGCAGAGAAAGGGAGTTAGTGGCATTATAGTCTGTTATAAACTCAATGTATTAGAGGATTTGATTATACCAGCTAACTATCAGATTACTTATTATAACTTACTTGACATTTAGAACAAAACAAAAACTCAACCAATTCACAAAACTAAATCTTACGTGATAGGGCAGTAAGAGAATCGTTGACTTCGTCGATGGCACCAGCAAACGCCTTCCTGTCGTTAGCCTTAGCCAGGGTGGGCAGCTGTTTGAGGTTGTCCTCCAGGATCCTCTGGTTGTCCACAACAGACTCGATACAGTCGAAGAAGTTCTCATTACTGACAGGCACACTTGGATCTTGGAGACTGTTGTTCAGAGTCTCAAGGTTCCTGATAGCATTATCGCATTCCTTCTGGCCAGGCACACTGCTGGTGCAGGCATCGAGCAAGTTGTTGATGCTGTCAGTAAGAGATCTAGCAGACTGGGTCAGGTTGTTCTTGAGGTGTGGTGTGGTGGGATCTGCCACGCACAGCTTACTAAGACTCAGCAGTTTGTTGGAAGAAGCGTGGCAGTTCTTCAGCTGCATTATCACCTCTGACTGTAGTTCTGCGTCCTAGGAGAAATTTCTTCGGTTAACTAATATTTCGGGTAAATTAGCCAATTTTCAGATCTTCATGTTCAGGTTCGCCTAATTAGCACATTCTTATTATTACACTTTACAGTCTTTGTTGTAAAAATGTACACACAGTTAATCGTGCAGTAATTGGTCAGCTGGCTAAGCCGGATATTGTTGTTAACTTTTTTGCGAAGGTAGCGTGCTGACTAAACTACAAATACGGGGAGTTTAAAAGGTAAGCCATTAACTTCCTCAACCATTGCTCTATCTGCTAGTGTAGAATGTACAATAGTGTACTGTGGGGATGTGTGTTTATTGAACATTCATCTCCACATTGTTTAACCAGTGTCATACATCCGGAAAAACCGATGAGAAATTTTCTAGTGTTCTGTCCATCGAATTTAGCGTCTAGTCTAGGAAAACGAATTTATAAATACACTCTAATAAAAGATAATATGTTCTACATCAGATCAAGGGGAAAAATAAAAAGGAAGCCGTAAAACTTGTAAAACCTAAGGGATACACTTTTACGCCTGAGCTGATATGAATGTTTATTAAAAATATCACATAACATTCGCTAACCTTGGTTGCTCCAGCGAGCTGCATGCTGTGGTTGACAACATTTCCGTAAGTGGTGGCGAAGTTGTTAGCGACAACAGCCAGGTCCTCAGGAGAGACACGACTAGCTGCCACCAGCTCTGAAGACACCTGGTTCAGTTTAGCAGCGTCTTCTGAGACGGCGTTCTGTAAGTCTGCAAGTGACTCTCCCTGCCGGGTATAAGGTTAGAGCTGCAGTCGTGGTAATCATGGTACACGTTTCAGAGGGTGGAGTTTAATCTTAAGGGGGCCGGGGGGGGGTCTTCATCAAAATTCTCTCGAAATTGATTTTATAGTTGTTTCTGATAGAGGGGAGTGATATCTATCAGCTGCTTTTGGTCCCATGGAAAAATATTGTTCCTAGCCAAAATTATCGCCAGTCAAAGGTCAGCGCTTATGTGTAATTGTATTGCGCGAGCGATTTTCAATCGCGTGCCCTGAAAATCGAGTCTAAAAATCTATCTTCTCCTACATTTTTTGAGCAATCACCCTGAAACTTTCAGGATATGTTCTATGGATCATTTAGAAGATATCTGTCGAGCCGAATATTGAGATAGGCCTTAGAAGATTTTTTATTCAATTTTGAAAATCTTGGACCTGGAAAAATCGTCAAAAAATGAGGTCCAAGATTTTCAAAATTAAATAAAAAATCTTCTAAGGCCTATCTCAAAATTCGGCTCGACAGATATCTTCTAAATGATCCATAGAACATATCCTGAAAGTTTCAGGGTGATTGCTCAAAAAATGTAGGAGAAGATAGATTTTTAGACTCGATTTTCAGGGCACGCGATTGAAAATCGCTCGCGCAATACAATTACACATAAGCGCTGACCTTTGACTGGCGATAATTTTGGCTAGGAACAATATTTTTCCATGGGACCAAAAGCAGCTGATAGATATCACTCCCCTCTATCAAAAACAACTATAAAATCAATTTCGAGATAATTTTGATGAAGACCCCCCCGGCCCCCTTATATGATTATGAGTTGGTTTGAAATTGTTGGATTACTCCGTGAGGCACGGCCTTTGATCTAGAATCTATGTTTTAAGAGTGAGGTCTAGCAGGTAGACTAAAAGTCTAACCTTAGTAGGTGGGAACCGGTTATCAGTAATAGCAACACTGGCTCTAGCGATCTCCTTGATAGCACTGTCAACGTCCTTCTGTCCAGGTAGTGAGTTGAGGAGGTTGTTGATAGCGTTAGAGACAGCCTTGTTGGCTTCATGCAGGTTCTTGGCCGCGTCCGCACTGTCCGGGTTGTTCAACAGCACCTTGCTGTACTCCATCATGCGCTGAGCTTCGTCCAGCACGTCCTTAGCATTATCTATCACGACATTCTGATCGTTCCTATCATCGGTACACGCGCAAATACCACGTACCGCTCCGATTAGATCACCGAGATGGTTTGCTGTTTCGCGAGCTGCGATTCCTATAATGGGGTTGGCTGTATATCATGAGAATTATGATGACAACATACTAAATGCAGTGACTTCTCCTTAAATAGACATGTATAAAAAAGCAGTTTTTCGCAAGCTGTAACTGAAGTATTTATTAAAATTAACGTAAACCAACCAATTAAATATATGTAAGTTATTCCAACTTAGTAATTATCATAAAATTGAATTGTTACCAGTGTAGTTAGCATTGCCCTGGTTGGCAGCTGTGAGCAGTTGTACCATACTAGTTCCAACCTGTCTACTCGCTCCGTAGAGGTCCGCTGTGCACGACTCTGGCTGAAAGAAGAGAATTAGTTTCACAGATATAAACAATTGTTTTGTCGGCTCAAGGTGAAACGAAGTTGTAACCCAGAATTGAAGTGAGGAAATCTGACACCAAGAGCATGATCTGAGTGTGTGATCAACCCAGTGCCATTCATTTGAGATTGCCAAATAACACACATGATACGATATTTCAGAATGGTGAATTGAATGGTATTTTATGGTATACTGACGTGGGTATAAGTCGGGAGGTGATCAACATTTTTGAGCTAAGAAAGCCAAAGAGACACATCAGGGTTTACAAAATGTTCGTAATAATCATATTTTATTCGGCCAAAAAGTATCATGCAGTCTTTTAAAATACTTAATGTTTTTAGTGATATTATAGTTTTTGTTGCAAACATATGAATCACCGTTCGCGTTCCGCTATGACACACGTCAATTAAATATTATATGATATTAGAAAGCAATTTCATTCATGGTAAAGATGTTCAAGCCGAAAAGTGAAAGTAGACTAACTAAAGATGAACTAAAGAAAGCAAGACAGATTAAAGAGTTCATTCAAGTTTCAAGGACAACTTCTAGGTTTTAATTCTACGTTCTAATTGTGGGATCTATGATCATATCTTAAATTAAAAATGTAAATGATAGGAATAGATATGAGGAGAGATTAGAGTTCTATGCAGAATTCTTTGTAATTCCTGTATGCAATATGCATGATACGTAATTTACTGAACTTAAATAATAATTTTGATTGCATTGCTGACATCAACTTATTTCTGCCCTAACAATAATCAGACATCTATTAAGTTTAAGCTTTGTGACAACATTCTTCAATGTTTGAATGTCCCTGCATCTTATCGAGCAACTTTTCGTGAATCATTTGATCAAGAGGCCCACAGAACAACAATCAAAATACAGTATATCACTACATCAAATGCCATGCTGAAGTCTAGCTAGCTACCATCCACCATTAATGTACTACGGGATATCATTTATATGATGTTACCACAGATTTTATAATACATATGACGTCATAACATCAATACAATGTGTAACACTGGCATTTAGTTTCTTTTAAATTCCCGGATTTCAACACTACTGTTGTGTAATTGGTGTGATTCTTAACATCACTGAGAGCTTTCAAACAGCCTGCAAAGTCCAAATACAGAATCGAAATTACAAAGTCGAAATTGTACATTGCAGTTTCATTTATTCCATTCCCGATGTAAATGGGCGAAATAAATCTGGAAACAGTATTTTCATTTAACTTTCAAGTTCACCAGATAGTTTTGAAATCAGGGATTTAAAATCAAGGACCATACGACGCAATTACAATCGACTTGGTCACAGAATAAATAATTATATCCTGGACAGTTCACATAACACTAATAATTGTTAACGTTTCATGTTAACCGTTAACAATAGTAAAAGTAATCGGTACACCACTTCAGATAAGATAACGTCACCAAAAGATCAGCTCATTACAAAACTTACGGTGCACTCAACAGGACCATCAGGGCTGGACTGAACAGAGGTGTTGGTGTTATTTTAGTGCCCTGTTATCTCTAGCTACATTGTAGCTCAATCTACATTGTAGCTGGATTTTTGTAGGGCTACGTTATTGCTAGTTCTACATAGCAATATTTTCATTGCGACGAGCTATGTAGCAATTCGACATTTGAATTGAAGTAATTTGTTGGGCCTGGGTGATTATGAGATCTTCTTCAGTTGTTACTTTAGCTCAACAACTAGTTTGTTATAAATTTGTGGGTAAAGTTAGATCTAGTTTAATAAGATTACATATGATATCTTTGGGACTACACTATCTCGGTAAAGGAACGTTAGAATCTGAGAAGGGATAAAATACTTACTGTTTCTCGAGGTAGAGGTTTAATCGTTCCCTCTGCAACACTTCTTTCGACGTCCTTCAAGTTACCCTTGACGTTTGCTAACAAGTCCAATGCGTTGTCAACATTAAGAGCAGTGAAGGATTCTCCAGCGCGGTTGGCGGCGTTGCGCAGGTTGACGAGCGCTGAAGCAGCACTCTTGGAGAAGTTGGCGAGTTGAAGGGCGGCGGCTTGGTCAGTTACGTGGGGGACTGCTGACTTGGCAGCAGAAACACACCTCGTAGCCGGCTGGTGAAGTCATATTTAAACATCCAGAAGGTAATTGAGATAAATAGTTACATTATGTATTCAATAGTCCCACCAGACAACATTTTTGTCACTTAGGATAACTAGAAGTGTTAAAGAAACTGGAAATTGAGAATTAGGTAAAAAAGAAATGAAACTCACTGCTATGAACTGTTGGGCGCACTGCACGAGGTTCAGCTGCTCGGAGTCGTTGTTAGGATCGTGAGAATATGCGTTAATTGAGCTAACTAGTTTACTAATAGCGTCTCCTAGCATCTTGCACTGCGACATCAGGGCTTCTTGACTTGCTGAGTTACCTGAAAAACAAATCATCAGTAATTTAAATGTAATATGAAACATATGCTCGTCGCCTCCAGGCCATGAAACAGAACAATTTGAGAGAAAAGAACATTCCAGTGTAAAAGGAAATTATTTAAGATAACCCAGGGCGCCCAGCCAGCTGCTCTGTCAGATCTATCACAAGATGTCATTGTCTTTTACTTCACACGAGTTAACTGTAAACTCCGGATAGATTTAATTCTACGCAAATCAGTAGATTGCAGTAATGAAAAGATCTGGGAATTTAATTCTATGAGTTTGTGTACGTTAGATGCAAATTTCCGAAATTGAGATGCCCCGGTTTTAACTTTGACCCGTGTAATTTTTTCTCTGGTGAGTCGAAATAGGCCTGGAGTGTAGAGTTTTAAGGGTATTGCCTGACGTAAACGTGGCCTAACGTTATAATATTTTCATCCAGAAGGTAAGGTTTTTTTTTTACAAATGTCTCAGACCCATAGCTAGATCTGTAAATTTTAGGCAGACCCACTCAACAGCGGCCAAATTTTGCGCATTATGAGCCCCAAGCCCGATACCCACTTTGCCTCCCAATTATATTATCATCTCGTAACTTCATAAAGAAGGTTCCGTTATTCATTTAAAGATTAAGTTTTATCGATTCTGGGCACGTAGCCCGACACGACACGTAGCCGGGGCGAAGCTCCTTTGGTTGGCTAGGGAGGGGGGAAGGCGCAGCCCCCCAGAAAATTTTTGAGAAATTATGTGTTTTAGACGACATTTGGCATTAAAGAAATTTGTAGGACAGTAATAATCAGACATCACAATAATACAGAGTTGGGGGGCGCAGCCCTGGCCTTCGGAAAATTTTTGAGAAATAGGGTGTTCCAGACGACATTTGTAGGACAGCAATAATCAGACATTACAATAATACAAGGTTGGTGGGCCGGGCTGGGGGGCGCAACCCCCGGAAAATTTTTGAGAAATAGGGTGATTCAGACGACATTTGGCATTAAAGAAATTTGTAGGACAGCAATAATCATACATCAGAATAATATAAAGTTGGTGGGCAAGGGGAGCGAACCCCCAGGAAAATTTTTGAGAAATAGGGTGATTAAAACGGCATTTGGCATTAAAGAAATTTGGGTACAGTAATAATCAGACATCACAATAATATAAAGTTGGGGGCCGGGGGGGGGGGGGGGGCGCAGCCCCCCAGAAAATTTTTGAGAAATAATGTGTTTTAGACGACATTTGGCATTAAAGAAATTTGTAGGACAGTAATAATCAGACATCACAATAATACAAAGTTGGGAGGCTAGGGGGGCGCACCCCCCGGAAAATTTTTGAGAAATAGGGTGATTCAGACGACATTAGGCATTAAAGAAATTAGTAGGGCAGTAATAATCAGACATCACAATAATATAAAGTTGGTTGGCTAAGGAGGGGGGGGGGGGCGCAGCCAATAAGAAAATTTTTGAGAAATTATGTGTTTTAGACGACATTTGGCATTAAAGAAATTTGTAGGACAGTAATTATAATCAGACATCACAATAATACAAAGTTGGAGGGCTAGGCAGGCGCAGCCCTGGCCTTCGGAAAATTTTTGAGAAATAGAGTGTTCCAGACGACATTTGTGGGACAGCAATAATCAGACATTACAATAATACAAGGTTGGTGGGCTGGGGTGGCGCAGTAATAATCAGACATCACAATAATATAAAGTTGGGGGACTGGGGGGGAGGGGGGGCGCAGCCCCCAAGAAAATTTTTAGAAATTATTTGTTTTAGACGACATTAGGCATTAAAGAAATTTGTAGGACGGCGATAATACAAAGTTGGGGGTGCAGCCCCCGGAAAATTTTTGAGAAATAGGGTGTTTCAGACGACATTTGGCATTAGAAATTTGTAATTTCAGACATCACAATAATACAAAGTTGGGGGCTAGGGGGAACTCAGTACTTGTCACATTGAATTGAATAAGTACATATTGTATAGTGGGATTTGGGAATAATTTACGAAATGCTAAAGTCGATTGCCTGTCGTGTCGTTTAATCAAACAGTCATAAACACAGCCCACTTACCAGGCGACCATGGGGACTAGGGGGCCTATTTTTTTTGGGGTTCAATTTTTTTCCGGGGGTCTTCACCTTGGCTACGTGTCTGCATTCTAGTTGCCAGACCCACTCTATTAGAGTGCAGACTCAACATTTTGGTTGCCAGACCCACTATTCTAGAGTCCAGACCCACAATTCTGGTTGTCATATCTCCTATATTCTAGTTCATAGACCCCCAATTCTGGTTGACAGAGTGAAGAATTACCATTCTGGTTGCCAGATTCACTCTTCTAGAGAGGAGACCCACTCTTCAGTCTTCTAGTAGGTATAGAGTCAAGACCCACTATTCTAAAATGCAGACCCACCATTCTGGTTGCCAGACCCACTCTTCTAAGGCGAAGACCTACCATTCTGGTTGCCAGCCCCACTCTTCTAGAGTGTAGACGCACCATTCCGATTGCCAGACCCACTATTCTTGAGTGAAGACCCACCTTTCGGGTTGCCGGACCCACTATTCTAGACTCTAGACTCCAGACGCACAATTCTGGTTGCCATATATCCTATATTCTAGTTTAGACCCCCAATTCTGGTTGACACTTAACAGAGTGTAGACTTACCATTCTGGTTGCCAGACCCACTCTTCTAGAGTGAAGACGGGGGGGTACCAATGGCATAGAATGGAGAAGAATGGCATAAAAATCATCAAATGGCATAGAAATTTCATGGCATAAATGGAAATTTTGTTTGGCCAATTCTCCATTTATGCCAATTTATGCCATGAATTTAGGTCTTCATATTTGACCTTTAGGATGACTTTAAATTCGCAAATATTATTAGTACTTGAATAAGAGACATGTTTCATGCTTTATAACGCTTGAAATGATCGTTAAAGTCAAAGATTCATATGACAAATAACTAAATAAAGAAAATAGAAATGTATTATATCAAATATATACCAAACATTTCACTATTCAAGAAAAGCAAATTGTGAGATGTTCAAAATGTACAGAATACAAACATTGACAACACAACGATTTTGAATGTCATCAAGGAACAATGCATCTGATGTATTTGTCTTCGACGAGTAGCCATACATTAGGAGATCCATTGATTAGGCTATGTTCCTGGCAGTAGTACTTCATCGGGCATGACTTATAAGAAATAAATCTAACCACTCCTGTTGCAAAGTTCTGCTGAGATTTGAAGACTTTAAGAGTTTCTGTACTGCCAGCTTTCAAAACTGTTGAACATCCGCATTCAGGTTGATTGTATATGCGAACATCAGAAGACACTCCAAACGCGTCCCCCTTGAATCTTGAAAGACGAGATTTTGTTGATAAAGTGCTTCTTCCTCCATTGAGCGTGAGTGTCTCAAAAGACCGGAAGGATAGTGTTCCATATTTATCTGTTGATATCGTTTCTCCATCATCACAATCATCAACTACAGGTTCTACCTCATAAGCTAAGTCGTCCTCATCCTCGAGGCATCCAGATTCATCATCTACAGCTCCCCAAGAAAGTTCTTGGCCATGGACGATTGGCTTCCCACTCCGTTCTTCAGGATCTGCGACTGCGGCGAACACAGGGAAATTGTTTCTTTTCCCTTCTCGAATGCAGTCCCTCGATGCCCTGTCCAGCGTTTTTGCCAACTTGCCTAGGCATATCATACCACCAGTCCATTTCACTCGTTCTGCTTTCTGGCCTGCAGATTTAACCTTTTTGAGGTGAACTGTAGGATGCAAAACTGTACTTCCACGTGCATATGCAATTGCAGATGTGTCTTCATGTAATGATAAAGCACTGTACACATTCTCTCTCCATTCCATGGGCCATAGTTATCGCATCCATATTTCTTGAGCGACCAGATGAAAAAGAAACCCGAATAAATGCAAACAGCTGCTCATTCTGATCACTTCCAAGGTAATAAGTGACGATTTCGGCATTAGGGAATTGCTTCTTCAGCAAAGTTAAATACAAAACAAGACCGTCACAAGTACATATAAGATCAAGGTACGTCTGATTCGTTATGCTGACAGCTGAGTAAGTATTCCCTTTCCAAGTAACAAAAAATGTTTTTTCTCAAACAGTTCCATTTTTATTATACTTTATAGTTTAGAGTCTAATTTGGCATGATATCAGATCATGTGATATTACATGGCCCCATGGAGAGCATTGCCAGAGCAATTGGCCAGAGAGCTCCATAGAAGTAAGGGGCCTACTCTAGCCAACAGCTCTACGTAATACATTTCCTTCCTCAACTTCATTTTCTTCATCTAACTGCTGCTGCTGCTCAGCAACTACTTGATAGCTGGCACAGTGACAATTGTCTGCGTAGTGTATCTGTTAGCCTCAATTTTGCCTCAAGGAGGGAAGGTAGCCTCAATCCAACCTCACATAAGTTTCGATAAAGTCTCGATAACCTTTGGGCTACAATTACAAGTTTTATAGTGGGTCTATAACATGTTTCCGTACATTAAAGTTAAAACTTAAAATGCGGTCGAATCATTTATTAGCCTCATTTTGGCCTCCTACAAGAAGACTCTGCGATTTCTAAAATGTTGAGCTTGAAGAGGATGAATAAATTTGTATTGTTGACACATTAGATAGTCACAATACCGAACATGCTCGAAAATATACACAAAAGTATACTTGTTAGCCTCATTTCACTCTCTCACAAGGTGGTTAGCCTCATTTTCACCTCGAAAATTTGAAGCTATAATCCGACGGAATTTCATGGCAACATAGATATCAAGTAACTTGTGAGTTGTTAACCTGTTTCCGTACATTAAAGTTAAAATGCGGTCGAATTTTTTATTAGCCTCATTTTGGCCTCCTACAAGTAGACTCGGCGATTTCTGAAATGTTGAGTTTTATTATTATTTATTTGAAGAGGATGAATCAATCTTTATTGTTGACGTATTAGATAGTCACAATACCAAACCAACTCGAAAATATATACAAAAGTAT